TTCTTTTTTTAATTGAAATATAGTCAATTTACAATGTTGTGTTAAGGTCTAATGTACAACATAGTGATTCATTTATACATATATATTCCTTTTCATATTCTTTTTCATTTTAGGCCGTTACAGAGTATTGAATATAGTTCCTTTAAACACATTAGTTCTTGGATCAGTATTACTTATTGTTAGAATGAGGCCATGTTCTACATCAATTTATTTCTTTAAAAAAATTTTTTTATTATTTTGCATCAATTTTATTCCAGCTTTACTTATTTGTAGATGTAAGTGCTCAGAAATAGATAGGAATGATAGTTTTGTCACTCAGTTATTAAATTCCTTCCATAATCAAAAAATATAATTTATCATCAGGCATGATTTTCAGTAAACTATCAGATGACACCTCCACTTGATCTTCCCTCAATTTTGTTGAAAGAATTGGAAAGTACCTGACTTGCATGAGGCTTCCTATTGTGACCTTAGAGTTAGTCACTGTGTCAACACAAACATTAGTATCTTGAATTGACCCTTTGTTTGGTGCCTGGAGTTTCTGCATCAGGGGCAGTGCCGCCTAGGAGCATTCCAGACTGGAGAGAGGAGTGCCTCTGTGTGTGTAGAGGGAGGAGGGCGATTGCGAAAGGGAAGGTGGGGGAGGACAGCTGCGCCCTCCCTGCGGGGTGTGTTCTCAGGCAGGTGAATTTTAGCAAAGAAAATATGTGAAAGTTGGAGGTTTGGAAAGGAATTCTTTGAAAACTATTTGAATCCATGTACTTTTAAGAAAGTCTTTTCGTGTCTGCCACCCTAGTTTGCAGACCATGGACCCACAAATCTTGCTCGCCAGGCCCACTTATGGGCGCTGGGAAAAACCAGAGAAGATCAGGCCCTGGTAGGATCTGGGCTGGCTGGGTGGAGAGGGAAGCCTGGGAGCCTTACAAACATCTTCCAGGATTCCGTCGGTCAGTCATAGGCATTACACATGGCTTTGGTGATTAAAGGATGAATAAATTACTGCCCTTGCCCTCCAGGAGTTTATAATCTGAGCTCATATTATAAAACAAAACAAAACAGCACACCCCCCCAAAAAAACTACCTGAAGTCAAAATCCTCTACGAGATCTTGTTTAATAAGTTAAAATAAGTTATTAAATGTTTGCATTTTTTAATGTTTTGATAACTAGATTTCAATATAACTGGTTTCCTTTGTAATCTCATTATATTTTAGGCATTTAAAAACCGTTTTTTAGAAGAGGTTAGGCTTTACCAGACTGCCAAAGGGGTCATGGCACAAAAAAGATGAACTGTGGTCTGAGTGCTGGCGTCTTCCAAATACCGTATAGTTTCCAAAGAGCCCTAGACGACCATTTCAATGAAGTCGTTTCATGGAAAGACGCCACCTAGACATTATGCTGGGTAGGACTGTGGTTACTGGCTTGGGGCATGCCCCAGAGATGTGTAAAATGTTGCATTAGACTATCAGACTCAGACCTGGATTAGTCGGCCCTCTTCATCTGCAGATTCTGCATCTGTGGATTCAGCCAACTGTAGATGGAAAATATTCAGGGAAAGAAAATTCTAGTAAGTTCCAGAAAGCCAAACTTGAATTTGCTGCACAGCAGCAACTATTTACATAGCATTTACATTATATTAGGTATTGTAAGTAATCTAGAGATGATTTAAAATGTGCATAAGTTATATGCAAATACCTGCCATTTTACATAAGGGACTTGAGCATCCGTGGATTTGGGTGTCCTGGGGACTCCTGGAACCAGTCCTCTCCAGATACTGAGGAACAGCTGTATTATCAGGCATTATCTGAAGGATATTAGTCTCTATTGTAATTCAGTTTACTGTCAAGCATTAGGGAATCATCCCCAGAATCGCCAGGAGGGGCATGGTTCTCAAGGGTCATTGGCGCCCCCCCATCCCCCGCACCTTCCACCTTAAGAAATCAAGTGAGGGAGAAAACTGTCATTGACTCTAGATTGCGTTTGATGACAGTTGAGTGTGTTCTTGGTTTTATTATTAAGTAATCTGAACCCATGGCTTCTTGGTTATTGTTTGGTTTGCTTCTTTAACATCTCAATATTCATTACTTTCTTCCCAGCGTTTTCTTAGGCAAGTGATTGGCTCCACGCACCAGGTCCCCTGACTTGAAGCTGCAGAGCTGCATTTAGATCAGGTTTCTTGCATGCTGCTGACTTTATCTCATTTACAGTATCAGATTTCTGTTGCCATACACTGTGTGATCTGGGCCTCCCCACAGCTTTTTAACAATTAGTAATCGAGCAGGAAGTGTGTTTTTATTACAGTTGCCTTTTGAGTTTGATTTTACAATCGTGTAGTGTTTGGCCGAGAGCAGAGGTGGGGAAGTGGCCCTCTGAAACACATTTTTGACAGAGAGAAGTCTGTTGTTTCAGCCGCTTGGCTATCTGTCAGCAGTTCTCAGACTTCCCCCTTGTGCTGGTTGCCTGGCAACCTGGGGCTGGAGCAATCAAACCGTGGCCAGTGCTTTTCCAAGCCCAGATTGGGAGATGATTTATTGGTGGAACTGTAAGCATGGTAAACCCAGGCCTCAGAAATGGACCTTTTTTTTCCTCTCTCTTTTTTAAACCAGGAGTTTATAAAAACCACATCAAGAAAAAATAAGAGGGAAAGAATATCAACTGGAGGATTTTGTAGCAAAAAATTTAAAGAATAAAATTGAGGCCTATAGTGAGCTTGTTATTACGTGTCTATCCACATGTGTATAGGATGATGTTTTTACTTATGTGAATTATTACCCCTTTTCCCCTTTTATTTTACTGGGACACTCAGCATTGTAAAAGTTAGTGCTTTTTTTGGGTAAATTAGGATACTTGGGATGTCATCTTACCATGAGTAACCTAGCACAGGAAATGTTCATGCCTTGCCTGGGGTCATTGGTGAAGCTTTGGTAGAATCAGGCACAGAACCAGAGCCCAGCTTTGCTGATGCCTGTGTCCATATTCTGGATTTAATGCAGTAAGCATACAATGCTGATTGCTCTTCTCCCTATATTTTAAAATTAGCTGAAAACTCCAAAGACCCTGCATTACTGTGTGCTGTGTTAAGGGTGCTTAAATGGTCTTCCCCTGCATATGTGTGTGGAGTCGGTGTGGGCAAGGGAAAGCTGTCCTTGTAGGACAGATGAATTCTGAACTTTCAGATTCTTACTACTTTCTGCTTCTGCCTCCCCTACCCCCAGTGTATAATTGTAACTTTTTAACTTTGAAAATTATCCCATATTGATTAATGTTTGCTGTAAAAGTGAGTTTTAAAGCTCTTTTGGCGGGGAGAGTACAGCTCAGTTGGTAGAGCACGGGCTTAGCATGCACAGGGTCCTGGGTTCAATCCCCAGCACCTCCATCAAATTAAATAAATAAAAACTTAACTCCCCCGCCCCCAAGAAGCTCTTTTTGAGGATCCTCCTGCATAGAGTCTCAAATACACCCTCCAGTATTGCAAATGAGGAATATTTTGGGAGGCATTCTGCATGGGGTGGGGAGGGGACAGAAGAGCCTCAGCCTGATTTAGCAGGCTAAGCATTTCCTAAGCATTTCTTTTTGTAAAATTTTAAGGAAATACTTTGAAGCTGAGATTCCACTCTGCATGCTGCCCAGAGTATCCAACTGTGTATGTAAATGCACTATTACTATATTTGTATTCCTTATAAATATACAGATCGAATCTGTTTGTATGTGTAATTTACACACAGCTGTGTTCACGCTCCCTTAATACCAATATTTTCAGCAAGAGTGAGGTATCCTGGGAGTGCTGTTTCAAACAAAAGCTAGCAGAGCAGCCTCAAGGCAGGGCCATTATCAGCCCCTGATGTGGAACACACACACACAGACACTCACTCTCTCCCTCCCTCCCTCCCCCCCCCCCCTCAGGGTGTCCTGCGAGACCAAAAGGGTCCCTGTCATAGAAAGGGAACAGTGACCACTGGTCAGGCAGGGATCTGCCTTATGACCAGGTTTTGCATTTTGTAATTGAAATACAGTCCCCTTCCCTTCTCACCCTGCTGTACGTCCTAAAGGGATCACTGATTTTCTTCCCATTTTGGAGAGCATTTAAAGTGACCAAAGTTAAAGGAGGAGCCCTGGCCTTTATGAAAGGGAAACAAAGTCCAGAAACTCCTTCTGTGGGCGCCCTCGGAGCTGGACAGGGCCTCAGCTTCCCACTTGGGGAGTGGGGCTGATCGTAACAGCTTCTGGATTTGATTGAGTTCTTCTGGAAGATACGTTTCACTTAATTTGAAATAACAGGTTTTTATGATTTTATTTCAGTTAGGACTATATGATATCATTGTCCATAATTATAACAATATTTATTTTACCTCCCTACTTGAGAACTTTTAGTGCCTTAGGAGTTTTAATGTTTTACCAAAAAGGAGCAAAAGGAACATTCTAGACCTGTGCTATCCAGTATGGTAACCACTAAGCACATGGAGCTGTTGAGCACCTGAAATATGCTAGTCCAAGTTGAGATGTGCTGTTAGAATAAAATACACAGTGAATTTCACAGACTGCATAGGAAAGAGAGAATGTGAAATATTTCATTCATCATTTTTATATTGATTGCATATTGAAATAATATTTTGGATATATTGACTTAAGATGTACTATTACTATTAATTTTATGTTTCTTTAAAAAATGTGGCTACTAGAAAATTAAAGTTACATGTTTGTCTCATTTGTGGCTCACATTCAGTTTTTATTGGGCAACCATTGATTTAGACTCCTCTAATTATAATTTTTGCAAAAGGTTTCCCACTAAAGATTCCTCCTTCTTTGTTCTCTTGTAACTTATAGACAAGCCACATTTCTTTTTCCAGTATATTCTTCTTTCCTCCTGTGTGGAGATCTACTTTGTTAAAGAAGGTGAACTTTTTAGTGACTTCTTTACGAGCCACTCGACAGGGACATTTACCTGGAGACAACGGTGGTATCGCAGGGAGAGAAGGCGCCTCTAGGGCCCATTTTGGTTCTGTTATTAGTGTTGGGTTATTTTTAATGTGGGTGTAGCTGGGCAGCCATAATTGGCAGGAGGTGTTTAGCTGGCGGTGTTTCTACATCTGTTAATGCTGCTGCTTAACTAGCCAGTTCTCATTTGACTTGAAAGCGCATTGAAGCGTGCTGCTCTGACACCCACCCAGCGGCAGGGCTGTTAGGCCTGCAGTAGTAAAAGCACTTCAGCTGCTCAGTGTAATCATCTAGACTCCAAGGGTCGTAGAGACAGAGATGTGTAGGAAGGCTCAGTGGCCTTCTTAGAGGGCACAGTTGCTATGTAAACCACCCATCAGGAGGTCATTTTCCTACTGGGCATGTGGTCTTTGAGTGAAAAATAGTGACTTTTATTTGATGTTTGAGACCACCTGGGAAGGATCAGCACACAGGAATGCTGAGAAGGGACCTCCTTCTCAGCTTTGCTCCGGGTGCTAAGCTGAATCGTGGAGTGGGACAGCGTGGTTTCTCTGGTGAGATGTGTATGTTTGAACCGACCAGAAATTTGGTGTCACGTCATTTTGTAGGTAGTCATAGGAGAGTCAGAAACTCAGCAGTGAGCATGTATCAGGAGACCTTGAGTCAAGCTGAAGGGCAGATCCTGGGAAGTCGAACAGCACTGTAGGAAAACCCAGCCAGCTCACCCCCCAGGTGCATTATGACAGGTTCATTCCACAGCCACAGTGATCACCCGCTCCGTGTGTCAGGTGCTGGGGATCCCTCGTGCATTCAGGGTCCTGTCATGTGGCAGTGAGGGCTCAGTGTCAACACAGAGCAGAGAAAGGTCGTAGAGAGTAAGAGGGCCTGCAGGTTGTCTGAAGACGTCCGATTGGAGGGTGCTTTACTGGTTCATTTAATTAATAGTTGACTGACTTTGAGGTTAAAGCTTTTAGTGGTTTTTGTAATGAATCTCATATTGATTTCCTATTGCCGCACAACGAATTACTCCCAGCAATCAAAATCACCTCAGCTTAAAACCATGATCATTTGTTCTCTCTCTCAGTTTCTGCAGGACAAGAATTTAGGAATGGCTTATCTGTGCAGCTCTGACTTGGGGTGCTTCTGTGAGGCTGCAGTCAGGTGGTGGATGGGATGGGAGGCATGTTGAAGGCTCCTTCACGTGTGAGTCTGGACTAGGAAAACTCAGATGGCTGGGGGCTGAACAGCTGGAGCTGCTGAGGCCACTATGCCTATGTGGTCTCCTCAGCAGGGCGGCTTCAGGGTAACCACACTTCTTAACGTGGTGGCTCAGGGCTCCAAAGACGTGTGTCTGGAGAGGGAGAGGCAAGCAGAAGCTGTGGGACTTCTCATGCGTGGCCCAGCCTCGGATGTTACCCAGAACCGATTCCGCCTGCGATTCCGCCTGTCGGTCAAGACAGGTAGGGTCCACCCAGACCCAAGGGCGGGGACAGAGACCCACCCAGACTCAAGGGCGGGGACAGAGACCCACATCTCAGCCGAGGAGTATCTTCACCACACTGCAGGAGCAGCATGTGAGATGGGAAGGAAATACGGTCTGTCACAAATTCAAAGCTCTTGTGGGCATATGTGTTTCAGTTTGTTTTGTTTTAAGTGTATGATCCTGTCAGTGAGGTGAGAGTATTGACCACTCAGATGTGCTAAAGCTTGCTTCCGACCTTGACGTTCTCCTGGTCTACTATTATTACACGTACGGTGGGGAGTGAGTGTGGGGTTGATGAACCGCCCGGCTTTTGTAGACATTTCTGGAGCGCATCAGCGGACGAGTCAGCTGGGGATAGGAGGCCTGCTGGGCTCTTCCTGCTGGCCTCAGGCACCCTAGGACCTGGCGTTTTAGTCACCCTTTGTGTTTCTCTAGCTAATCTTCTGGAGCCAGGGTGGATAAAACAGGGATGAAACCAGGAGCTGTCCAGTGTCACCATTCTCATGAACAGAGGCAGGTAGAATAATCAGGGCAGGATCATGTTAGACCTGCCTTCCCCAGTTCTCATTCTCATCCTCTTTGGCCTTCGGAAGACTGGCAAGGAAGGGAAAGGAACCAGGAAAGGGAATGCTTTGGTATTACTCCTCCACGACAGTGGGACAGCTGCCATGTTTGACCCTAGAGAAGACCTCTTTTAGAAACGAACAAGCTTGGATTTGGGTTTCTGTTCTAACCATCAAATCTTTTGGGATAAGGCAGGGAAATAGGTCTTTTTGCAAAAACTAGGATTTATTTAATATCAAAGATATACTGAATTCCCAGGTCAGACAGTTGACACAACAGACCGTGGATTAACAGGGTCTCTCTTTGGAAAGAGCTTAGCCACCCTCTTCTCTCTTTGTAGGAGAGAGGCTGCATGTCTGACTGTGGCTCCCAGGGATGGGGAACTGGAGGCTTCCATTGTCGAGGCCCAGACACTTGTCCTGCACGCGAGCACACGGAAGCCCTGACAGAGGGCTGGTGACCTAGACAAGGAAGTAGTGATTTAGTGGCAGAGCCACGTACTCTGAGCCATGTTGTTTTGTGGGGTTTTTTTTGGGGGGGGAGGTAATTAGGTTTATTTACTTACTTATTCTTAGAGGTGGTACTGGGGATTGAACCCAGGACCTCATGCATGCGAAGCATGCACTCTGCCACTTCCTCTGCCATTTTCCTCCCTCTGTGGAAAAAATTTTAACATGGTTATACAGCATACAACCTCTGACACTTCTGCTTCCAAGAGCAAGTGTTTATATGTAAAATTTCCTTTATAGGCTTTTTTTTATAAAGATGATTAATGCCCTTTAATTCCTCTGATATGAGTAGATACAGAGGATTTTTTCTGCACTGAGATTCCAAGCAGTTAATCCTATTTTGAAATCTCATTTACTTCTCCACCTTTCCTGATTAGCTATGGATTGGGACAGCATTTTAATTTATTTAAACTTAGGTTTCTTCATCTTCATCTGTAGAATGGACCCAGTGACACGAATCTTGGAGAGTATGTTGAGGAGCCCTGAGGAGGGTGTGGTCAGGGCCCATCAGTGTCCATGTAGAGATGGTGATGTCCTGAGACAAGAGAAGATGTTACTCTGAATAGAAAGCATGGGTACAAGTCTTGAGTTGGGGAAAAATAAAAATGTCAGGTCTAGGGAGAGATTTGAGAATCATCAATAAAAATGTCATTATTACTTTAAATTGTTATCCTACTCGCTGTTTTTAAACTATAACAAGTTTAATGAAACTATTAACTAGTTACCCTGGAATAATGGTAGTAAGTTCCAAATGTACTTACAAGGTCG